TCCACCAACATCCTCTGCATCCCTGTCACGTGTCTAGAGCATCCACTATCAAAGTACCAGTCTTCTCTAGTTGGAGCCTTTAATGAGGTGTGAGCTATAAGATTCACATTTCTATTGATGAACCTTCTCTTCTTTCTTATTTGATTCGCCTTAGAATGAGCTGAAGATTGTTGTGCATTATACAAGTTATAGCAGAAAGGCTTAATATGACCATACTCGCCATAGTAATGACACCTCCAAATTGATGATTGAGATTTAGTTGAAGATACATCATGTCCAGCATGGTGTTGTAATAGGTGGTTGAACATGGTGATCATCTTTTTCCTTTCAACAGGGAAGAACTTTTCTACATACTTATTATTTTGTTGATCACCTCTTGCATCTTCATAATCTTTCATTATATCATATCCATTGTTCATCCATCTTACTAAGTCAGTCATGTTATTAAGCTTAAAGTTAAGGAAGGTTACTTCATCTTGCAGCTAATAAACAGTACATAGAGGGTCCTTCTTCTCATTTTCCATTGCAACTATAATCTTCTTCTAATCCTCTTTTGTCTTAAGAGATTATTTACACTTGTCACAGATTTCCTTGAAAAACATATCCAGGTTTTCATAGAGGAAATTATCTGCACAAGATTCTTCTTCATCAGCCCATCTACCAGAGAGAGCAGTCACAAGATTGACAGTCTCAAAGTTACATTCATCTTCTGACTCATCATCTTCAGACCATGATACAGATAACCCTTTTTTCAATTTCTTGAGAAAGGTAGGACATTCTGACTTGATGTGACCAAAACCTTCACACTCATATCATTGTATTTATTTGCTTTGATTTGACTTCTCTTCAGTCCTGGCGTTCTTTTGAGAGTCATTGGTATTTCTGGCGTCATGTGAGTTGTTCTTGACACCTGATCTTCCTCTTCTGTCCATCCTTTTCAAAACCTTGTTTAATTGCCCCCCAAGGAGCACAATAGCATTAGATATACCTTCATCTGTATCTAGGTCACATTTATCTTCTAAGTCTTCAACATTAGACACAAAGGATGTGTTTTTCTTCTTTTCAGACTTTTCACTGATTTCTAATTCAAAGGTATGAAGAGATCTCAGAAGTTCATCAACTTTCATGTTGTTTATGTCTTGGTCTTCTTCAATGGCGGTTACCTTCATGTCAAATCTCTTTGGAAGAGATCTGAGAATTTTTCTGACCAACTTAACTTCTGAAATTTTCTCCTCCAGGGCACTTGAATCATTGTCTATCTCAATAATATTCATGTGAAAATCATAAATGCTCTCATCCTCCTTCATTTTCAAGTTCTCAAACTTGGTGGTAAGAGTTTAAAGTCTTGACATCTTCACCTTAGAGGTTCCTTCATGTGCAGTCTTTAAAATCTCCCAAGCATCTTTAACAACAGTAGAGTTATTTATCAGTCTGAAGATGTTCTTGTCTACTCCATTGAACAGGGCATTCAATGCCTTGGAGTTTCCCAGAGCTAGCTTGTCATCTTCATCATCTCAGTCTTCCTCATCCTTTGGCATATCAGTAATCTTACCATCCTTATCTCTAACCATTGAAGGATCACATCCCTTGACCACAAACTTCCAAACCTTGTTGTCCATAGACATCAGAAAGGTCACCATATGTGTTTTCCAATAGTCATAATTTGTTTTATCAAGAGTGAGTGGTATGTTCACAAATCCCCCATCCTTGTCCATAGTACCAGAAAGTATCTTCTCTAAATCTCACCCAAATACAGAGCAGGATACCGACTCTGATACTAATTGAAATTCTGGTATGCAAATATCAGATGTTCTAAGAGATGTCGAGACACTGATATCTATTTAAAACACAAGGACAAAATACAACACAGTTAAAGATGCAGAAAATAACAAAACACAAAGAGTTGTTAACGCAGTTTGGTGTACAACAACAGCTACGTCTGAGGGCTACCAAGCTAGGAAGGAAATCCATTATTAGTAGTATCAATTTAAAGCCAAACTATCCCATTTTAAAGCTTCTCACTTAATCCCTACCTAGTGCAATTTCTACCTAAGACACTCCTAGATATGAGAATTCCCTTTCACTTCCTAACAATCATAATCAGCAGTGGTAGAACTAATAATACATCAAAAGAAGTCACACTTCAAAGACAATAATTGATCTTTCTTAAAAGCTTAAATCACGTACAACACACTCTTGCTTAAAATCATTGCATGGAAACTTACAACTCAATAACATCAGTCCAGTTCAAGCATCTAGGTGATGAATGAATGGCTCACATACATTCTACCTCAATGTATCAGAAAGTACATGAGTGACACATAATACATCAACACACTAAAAAAGAACTCAAACCCTAAACCCTTATTCGCACACACTCTTTTTCAAATAATTCCACCCACATTTTAGGTTTAGTAAGTCTCTTCATATAGTCTCGTGAAGTATGGGCTTGGACTCTTCAATCAATTCCATCTTGTCAGTTTTAAACCCTCTGCAAAATCTTCTCCATAATAACATGAAAAGTTTCCTAAAAAGTCTCATCCTCCAAATTTAGCAATTTGTGCACAGCTGGATATACAGAAACTTGTTCCTGATAAAACCTACTTGAACTGCGAAAATTATTGAGATATATTCCAACAGAAGTATCACAAAATTAAAACAAATATTTCAAGAATTAAAACAGTCAGAACAGATGTTATCCTATAACATGTTTCAACATCAGTTTGGACATCTTCTCTTAAGGTGAGCTGATCAACATGTTACAACATCACACACAACATCCTGCTGTGAACCATATTTTAGAAAACTTGTTGTCAATCCTTAAACCGTAGAACCTTCAAGTGGCTAGAGGATTCCTACAAAAGTCTAATTTAGATTACTTTGAAATGTTTGCACTTGTAGTTAGACATGAAATCATAAGGTTAGTTATTGCTATAGCTGCAAATAGAAATTTGCCTCTGATACATTTAGAGTAAAACCAGATTTTCTAAATGGTGCATTGCAAGAAGAAGTTTATGTGTTACAAACTTCTGAATATGTGAAAGATAACAAAGAAGCTAAGTTGTACAAATTGCATAAAGCCTTGTATGGGAAGGAACAAGCTCCAAGGACTTGTAATCTGAAAATTGATTCATTTTTAAAGCATTAAGAATTCAAGAAATGTGAAATGGAATATGGTGTGTATGTGCAGCATACTTCTAAAGGCCATGTGATTATGGTGTGCCTTTATGTGGATGACATACGTCTAGCGGGCAGTTGTACTTCTGAGATAAATAAGTTCTAGAAGGTGCTGATGAAGGCATTTGATATGAATGGCCTTAAAAATATGGTATATTTTTTAGGGATGAAGATTTTACATTCTGAGAAGGGAATTATTTTGCACCAACTCAAATATGAACTTGAGCTGCTGAAGAGATTTGAACTAATGAATTGCAAGTCAGTAGTCAGACTTGCTAAGACAAATCATAAGCTAAATTCTGATGATGGAGAGGATGTATATGTTACAGCCTTCAAAAAATTGGTTGGTTGTCTGAGATATCCATGTAACACCAGACCTGACATCTATTATGCAGTTAGAATGGTGAGTAGGTTTAGGAGTAAACCAAAGTGGTCACATTACCAAGCTGTATTCAGGATTCTGAGGTATGTAAAAGGAACTGTGAGGTATGGAATTTTGTTTTCATATGGATTGTCAGATGCTGATGAACTAGTATGCTACTCAGACTCTAACTGGTATGGTGATAGAGTAGACAGAAGAAACACTGTAGGATACATGTTTATGTATCTGAGAGTCTCCATTTCTTGGTGTTCCAAGAAGCAACCAGTGGTTGCATTGTCAACTTGTGAAGTTGAATATGTAGTTGGTGTTTTTTCAGCTTGTTAGGCTGTTTGGCTAATGAATTTGTTGCATGGACTGAAGTTTAAGGTTAGTAAACCAATCAAATTTATGAGAGATAACAAATTTGTTATAAATCTTGCTATGAATCCAGTGTTACATGGAAGAAGCAAGCACATTGATACTAAGTACCATTTTCTGTGCAATCAGGTTCATAATGGAGTACTTGAGGTTATTCATGTCAGCACTCAGAAGCAGCTAGCAGATGTGCTGACAAAGACAATCAAAACTAAACACTTTATCAATTTGGAGGATGAAATTTACGTTGTAGATTTTAACTTGAAAGTGATTTAAGGAATGGTGTTGAATGTAATACAACATTCAAGATTAGTTTCATTTGCAATTATATTTATATTTGTATTTGAATTTTGTTTGTATTTCATTTGAGTTGAATTTCGGTGAATCTATATAAACTCAAATGAAAGTGAATGTTAACAGATTTGAAAATTAAAAAATTAGTTAAATCTTTTTCTCTCTCTCTATTCTCTACAACTATTCTATCATCTTCATCTTCTTCAATTCTTATGTATTATTAACGGAGATTCGTCGTTTAACTTCAACCTTCTTTAAATCTTGGCAAGAATTTCATCTAGAAAATATCATTTTTTTCAATACATTTGTAATTGAAATGATATAATCTAACATGTTTTCTTACTTTTTCTATCTTCTACTATTGATACATATTTCATAAAAATTAAAAAATACAGTATTTGCCATCAAAATTTTCCTCACAAGTATATATTTCCTCTTCATAAATCATGGTGTGTATGTCCAAGTTGTATCTGTTAGGACACAGGTCCCACAGTCTGCATGGCTGACACGTGTACAAGTTAGCCCATCTGATCTAAGAGTGAGTGAAATTATAAAAGAAAGAAAAAAAATCCATTATAGGGCCTACAAATGTTGCAGGGTGACACTGCAGCTTTTAGCCCTTTGCTACAAACCCTAACTGGTCCACAATGCTCCTTCTCTCCCTCATTAAATTCACCACTTCTCACTTCACCATTTTTCCATCCTTTTTTCTCTCTTCATTCTCTCTTTTCTTCACACAACCATTTATATAAAACCTAGCTAGGGCTAAAACAAAACCTAATCCTTCTTCATCATGGGACATCACTCTTGCTGCAACAAACAGAAAGTGAAAAGAGGCTTATGGTCTCCTGAAGAAGATGAAAAACTCATCAACTACATCACTACTTATGGACATGGCTGTTGGAGTTCTGTGCCTAAGCTTGCAGGTTTGCAAAGATGTGGAAAAAGTTGCAGGTTGAGATGGATTAATTATTTAAGACCTGATTTGAAACGTGGAAGCTTTTCTCCTCAAGAAGCTGCTCTTATTATTGAACTTCATACCATTCTTGGCAACAGGTTTGTTCCTATCATAATAATAAGAATGATCACTTTTCTTTTTGTGTATGTATCTATATATCTATATATACATGGTTTGGATTTGGACAGGTGGGCACAGATAGCAAAACATTTACCAGGAAGAACTGATAATGAAGTGAAGAACTTTTGGAATTCAAGCATAAAGAAGAAACTACTTTCACATGATTTTGTTCCTTCTTTAACTACATTTTCTGATCATATTCACTGTCCTAGAAATGAAACTTTCTTCCCTTTGTTAAATGACAATCCTATCCTTAACAACTCTCATCATCAATATCACTTAGATCATCATCTATACTTTCCCATCAATCTTCCATCTCCAATCCTACAAGATCAAAACGATCGTATCAAGAATATTGATGATATCAACAACGTTTTGAATGCCAATTTTCATTCTCCAACTTTGCCAGAAACACTACCTTCTTCCAATAATCTTATTTCATCTTCTTATGACCATTTTGATACATGGTCATTCATTCATCATCTCAATCCAAATATTCAACAAAACATTAATATTGTTGAGAGTTTTATCAATAATAATAATAATCCAAACACAGTTTGGCAACAACAACCGCACCAACAACACTACGACATTAGTACTCATCATTTGGTGGAACTTGATAATCCTATTGTGCCAAAAGTTTGTGAAATCGAAACCATTAAGGATGATTTTGTTTCTAGCATCCCATTTTCTTCTTCTGATTCACAACATCATCATCATCATGATCTCATCAATCAAATTATGGCCGCAGAAGCCAATAATATTGTTCAAGCTGTGGAGTATAATAATATCATGGATGCTCTCATCATGTCATCATCATTACCATCCTCAACAACAACAACAACAACAACAACAACAACATCTTCATCACCACCACCACTATCATTCTATCAAGCACCAGAAAAAATTCTCACAAAACCTATCCTTCCTTCAACTTGGGAGTCATCATCATCATGATCATCCTATTCTCATGTGTATATTATATGCATTTAATTATGTTCATCTCTTGAAATTTGGAATATTAAGAGGGGTATATTTGCAAACATGATATTTTTCCTAGTTGAGGGTGCTTGTTTCAAGTTCCATAAATATGTCTAGTTTGTTTCACATGTTTGTAAACTAAAACTATGTATTTTTCTGAATCATTTACTATAAATTAGTAGTATTTGTTTTGTCATTTATTGTATGAGAATTAATCATATATGCTTAGTTGTGCAGTACTTTTACGTTGACACATTGTCTGTTTGACATTTATGGATGATGATGTCAAAATTTGTACACATACCATGGTCAACTTGTTCTCACTTCACGCCAAATTCTGCTCCTATACACTATAACTAGGGATCAATGCTCTGCAGGTACTTGTTAGCATATTCTGATGTTATTCACAACAAGAATCAAATGAACAACATGTTTACTAGCTTATATCTGAACTATTTTGTCTTTCAACAAGTACATTTTCATTAATTAATTCATAATGCACTTGATTAGATTAGGAATGGATTTGGATTAGTGCTGTTTCACCGCATATTTAGACGGTCTGATCGATCTGTCTAAATTTTACATATGAAATATGAATGCTCTGATTTTAGTAAAAAAATTAAATGTGATTAATTGTATATAATTGCAGAATTATGATTGCATACATAATTCGGGTTGGTATAGAAATACTTTTTTTTGGCATGTTTCATTTTGTAGAAATTTTGTTTTCTTATAAAAACTAATTACAAGTTCTGTAGCACCAAGACTTTTGAAAAAAAATTGTGTATTTGTATCGGATATTAACACAATACTGACAATTTTAATTATATTCAATTTATTTATTTTTTCAAATTATTATCAAAATATTAGTATTAATGTCTCTTTCTGTGTTTTATAGATTAGAAAAGGTGTTTCAGTTGAAAATGTGAATATTGATTGAGTGAATTTTTTTTTATAGATTAGGTGTGTTTAAGTTGAAAAAGTGAATATTAATAGATTGAACATTTTCTAAAACATTTAAATTCAAATCTAAAATCTTATACTTTATCTTTGTGAATTTATGGAGAAATTTACCATTCATCTAAGGAGATATAAAAATTGTTCCAAGATGCATCATAATGTTAAATAATTACTTTTGCATTGTACCAAACTTTAGAAGGGTCCATCTGTCAAGTCTTGACATTTGCTTTACCCGGGGAAAACTTGCTCTTTGCTTTTGCTTATAAATTGGTTAAAGTTATAGAAAAACATCATTCATCTTTTGATGAATAAAAGGGGAAGAAAAGGGAGACAAGAAAACTATAAGATTAGTTAATTAAAAGTTACAGTGAAGGAATATAAAAAGCAAAAGAACTTAACACCGACTAATAATTAGTTTTATTTCAAAGATTAAAACTAAATATGATTAGACCCTTATTAAAAAAGAAAGTTTTATTATGTGTACATGATTTGCAGCAAGGAATCAGATATTTATGAACAAAATTCTCACGGGTCTAGAGCTCTTTCCCTAAATTAAAATTATTTCAAAAAGAAAATTTTTGATAAATGTTAACATGGTTGGTCATAATTCAACTCTATAAAATCGATTTTAAGATAAGGATTATCTCTATATTTTCATATCATATATTATTTAATGTGAGATTGTTAATACACTTTTTACGTCAAGACTAGACTTTTAAAATATGAAAATAAATAGTGGGTGGATTAATAATGGAAACCGATAGCTGATGTCTCATCCAATCTTAAATGAAATTTTTGATAAAAAATGTAGTTAAGTTTAACTCAACCTTACAAAATCGATTTTTAAAGTGAAAATTATTGTCACTTATAAGAATATATTCAGAACATATATTATTTAATATAAAAATTTCTTAAAATTTAGTTTGAGTTTGAGACAATCTTATACAACCTAATTAGAATTTTTCCAACTTATAAATATATTGTCATAAATATTTAAGAATTTAAATACAACTCATGCTCAGAGTTTTGAATATGGTCAGTGGTATAAAAGTTTCTGCAATATCAATTGGTATAAAAATCGCAACATTAATTGCAATCAGCATAATGTGAATTAACTATAATTTATTTTTTAACATAAAAAGTGATAACGGTATCGACATTGACCGACATCATTTTGTCATGACTATTTTCACGATGACGAACTGTTTTTTAAAACCTTTATCTTAAGTATCATCTCTGACACCCGATAGAAATAACCTAATAAAAAATAGTCCAGCAGATATATCTTAGAATTTGAATTGATATTTAAAGTTTATTTAAAATTTTGTGCATTATCAAATACACTTTTACAATTGTAAGAACTAATTTTTCAGGAAAATTAATCTCTAAGTAACAAATTTGTCCTTAAGATGACTTAAATATAATTTTCATAGTTGTCTCTTTTATATATTCAACAATAAATTTATTTATAATTGATATGAAACTAACCTTCATAATTGAATACAACACTTTGTGATTAGCTGCTTCATGTCTTTTCTTTCTCTTTAATTTCCTTGTGATTTAAGTTTGTCTAATTAATTAAGCACATGCAGATAATTAATTAAGAGCACGGTATTCATGTGATCTTAAAAAAAAAAACAACAAAATCTATGGTAAATACTATATTCATTTGTTCAAACTCCAAAGCAAAGATTCTGATTAAAATTCCCTTAATTGCTGTCATCATAAAGCAGAAAATGACTTAAAAGAATTCACTATGTGTTATTATTAACCAAAAAGGAGAGTAAGAAAACATTATTCTACAGCATTATTATAAATAATGACAGAGAAAGAGCATTCAACAAAATTATGATTGTAATTTGATAACATATGGAATCTTCTGCAATAGTAAGGGAAACATAACTTCATTCAATCATATGCTGATTTCATGCATATATAATATATATTCCCACCACCAACTCAATCCCTATGTTGATGATTATCTTTGAATCAGTGAGAGTTTCATTCATTAAATTGCAATCAAAATAATTAAGCTAAACAAATAGAAATTGACACAAACACATCTTGAATATAAGGTTATCATGTTTAGTATCTGACACATACTCTTCTTGAATATAAGATTATAATATTTAGTGTCAGACACAGACACATACACAGACAGACTCTTTAAATAGGACTATCATATTTAGTGTTAATAGACATACTCGTCTTGAATATTGGGTTATCATATTTAGATATCAGTCACACAGTCGCAGACATCACAACCTGAATATAAGATTATCATGTTTAGTGTTAAATATGTGCACCTTTTAAATATAGGATTGTCATGTTTAGTGTCAGATATAAAAAAGTCTTGAATATAGAATTATAATATTTAGTGCAGATATAGACATAGACACGTCTTGAATATTAGGTTATCTGCGCAATTATCTTCGTTAAAAAAAATATTAAATATTACAAAGTTAAAGATGTATCATGTATCTATCTCTTTGGTTACAGCCGTTACTACAATAATTTGAAGGGCCCATAACTATTGAAAATGGATTCTTTGGTCTATTATGGTAGAAGGGCTATGAATTATTTTTGCATTCTATTCAACTATTGAATTTCTAATTCTTCATGCATGGCTCAGAATCTTAGAAAGTTTTCTTTCTTATGGGCCAGTTTCTTAGATGCTTTTATAATCATATGAATTAATTTAGCAACAAAGTTAAAGTTCATCTCTATTCACTCTGACCTCTTTTGATACATCAACATGACAGGGTGATTGTTTATTTCCTTTTTCCTAGATATACCCCATCTTCTTTTCTTTGATGTGAATGTGTTATCATGTTTCATTTTCATTACTCTTCCTTTACAGTACAGACCAAAGGGTGATAATTAAAGGAGCAAGATAGCATCAAGGTCAGCTATGGTTTTCAATTCTAGATGCAATATAAAAATTTTGAAATTTCTAACTCCAATATGTATCACAAAAATTTAAATCAGGTTCACACTATTTTGCGGCAATATAAAAATTTTAAGTGAAGAATTTGCAACTCTAAATATAATTTAAAACTATATTAATTTTTTAGATATGTAAATAGGCAATGAACTTCAAACAAAATAAAATTGCTATAATTCTAGAGTCTATCATCCACCCTTTTATAGTATCCTCTTGATTCACAACATAATTTAATTTTGTATGTGGAAAAGTAATATCTAATATAAAAAGATGGTAAATCACCAAAATATATAAGATAGATTTTAAGATCGCACAAAATGTGCTAAATTGATCAACAACAAAAAAAAATATAGACACAACAATGAAAACCCAAACAACAACAAGAGGGTCTAAAAGAACAACATTGAAAAAAAAAAGTCCATTCTACTAAAAACCTCATCTTTTAAGGTTCCCAATTAGATCGACAATTACTTCCTATTTAAACATAGTTTTTTTTAAGAGAGAAATCTATCATGCAAAAGATGACAAAAAAAGACCACAATCTTAAAACGAGCCCAACTAATTTAGAGAAAAAGTTGGATTCTCAATCAAATGAGAGAAAAAATTAGAGTTATTAAGATCTATTTGAGCAAGATAAACAAAGGCAAGAAAGAATATACCATCTCTTGAATGAATCCAACGAGAGTAAAGCATTCAAGAATATAGAGAAGATTACCAAAAGTTGGTAATTCGTCAGAAAGAAGGATCATTTCTGTAACAGCCCAATTTTCAATAATTGATTATTTGTACTAATTAATTGATTTAATGAATTATTGGATCTATTTAATTTATATGAGTTAATGTATTTAACTAATTTATTCTATTTGGTAGAATAAGGTGAATTTACTAGACCTTCTCTAATTAATGATAAGATGAGATATATTGAGGAGAAATAAAAGAGAACGATATATAAGAGGAAGTGGAAAGAAAAGGATAGAAATAGAGAGAAAGAAAAAAGAAGAGAAAGGTAGAAGAGAGAAGAGGAGAAAAGAGAGGAAAAACTTGGAATCATCAGAACGACTTCTAACTTCCG